AGACAGAAGATCTGAAGCAGGCTGTGTGCTAAGGACAGAGAGCCCAATATGGGGCTCAAACTCACAAACCACAAGATCATGACCCGAGTTGAAGTCAGACGCTTAACTGACTGAGCCACCCAGGCACCCCATGAGCATTTTACATGTAGGCAAGTTATGTCTAAGTCTTTTTCCAAAAAAGTTTGCACCAGTTTGCACTCCCTTTTTGGTCCATTTAATGTTTACTTATTTTTATTTTTGAGAGAGAGACAGAGACAGAGACAGAGCATGAGGGGAAGAGGGGCAGAGAGAGAGGGAGACACAGCATCCGAAGCAGGCTCCAGGCTCTGAGGTGTCAGCACAGAGCCCGACGCCGGGCTCTAACCCACGAGCTGTGAGATCATGACCTGAGCCAAAGTGGGCTGCTTAACTGACTGAGCCACCCAGGCGCCACCCCACCACCACCTTTTTTGGTCCATTTAAACATAAATAAGATGAGACAGGGTAGATCACTTCCCCGAAGTGTCCTGTCCATAAAATGATGGGTCTAGACTTAAAAAAAAAAAAAAAAAAAAAAAAAAAAAAAAAAAAAAAAAAAAGGAAAGGAACCAGTCTTTTTTGGGCAGCACGGCTCCTACCCTGCCTTCGAGAAGTGGGTGTATGTTAGACTCGTGCTCAGCTAGCAGGCAAAGGCTGAGAGAACAGCTGCTGGCAAAGTCTTCCCGGACAGCGACCGGCCCAAGGTCACACAGCTAGTAGGTCTCAGCTGGCTTTGCTTCTCAGACCTGTCTGATCTCCAAACGCTTTGCTGCGCCCACTCCTTCCCTCCCCCGCATCTCCATCCATTCCATCAACAAACAGCTTTAAGTGGCTAAGGTGACCAGGCTCCCTGCTTCCTGTTGGGGATGCCACAATGAGCAAAAGCAGATACATCCCTGCGAACTTGAAGAATCTCACCAAGAAACACACAACTGCAAACAGAGCCAAGCGGCCTGGGCAAGAGGCCCAGAGGAGCACAGGGTGAGGAGGGGAGCCTGCAGCTGGCCCCAGCTCAGCCCCTGTCTTTATCTTAAAAGCACAAGGTGACCCTGAAGGGTTTGAAGCCAGGGTGGGTGTCAGAGGGAAAGAGCGAGCAGAAAGATCTCTGTGTGCTTTTGAAGTTGCTGTCTGAGTCTCCCTGCCCTCACGTGTCCCCTGGAGCCCCACCTGGGCCTCTGGGCCCACGGGACCTGTTGTGGCCGGGGCTCCCCCGCTGTGGGGGCGCGTGGCCGTTGAGCCCATCTCCGGCAGCCAGGTCTGAAGTCCCGGCCACTTCCGCCCTTTGCTGTCCCTGTGGTTGCTGGTGGGGCTGAGGCATCTCGGGCCAGCGTTGAGGGGAGCAGGAGGGGCAGCCCGACTGTCCCAGGAAGGACTGAGGGCCTCCCCCCTCCCAGTTTGTCTGTGGTTCTGAGGGCCCACTCCAGCCTCTTCCTGCCCTTTGTCCCGGGTCTAGTCAGGAAGGCATTTTCCAGGGCTTCTCCCCACCCCCTTTCCACTTCCCTTCCCCACCTTCCTCCCAGGCCGTGAGGGGAGGCATCTTGGGGCTGGCTGGCTTCTTTCACCGACACTCCCTTTCAGCTCCCTCGTCGCTGCTGGTTTCCACTCTTCCCTTCCTCAGGTCCTCCATGGTCTCCCAGGCCTGACGCCAGCTGTGCCTCCCGTGTGTCTCAGTCAGAATCCATTCCCCAGCCGCAGTACTTACCGGACTCCACCTGGCGGCCGGCTCTGGGTAGAGGAGGGGACAGAGGGTGGGACGCTCCCTGCCCTCCGGAGCCCCCAGCCCGGTGGGCAGACAGCAGAGCCAGGCCTGAGCGAGCAAGAGAAGCAGTTTTCTGCAAATGAGTGTGCAGAGAGCTATAGGCTTGGGGGAAGAAGGGGAGGGAGGAGTGGTGGTCAGTGGAGGAGGAGTCCATGGCTTCCTTCCCCTGGGATTTCCAAATACAAGGCCTAGTGTGATGAGGAATTGTCTGGGCGGGGTGGGGGAGGGGGCTATGAAGAGAAAGAGAACAGGAGATCGAGACACCCGCACATGATGGTTATTTAAAAGCTATTTAATTTGGAAAAAAAAAACTTTAAGTTTTATTTATTTAAGTAATCTCTATACCCAACATGGGGCTTGAACTCACAACCCCAAGATCAAGAGTCACATGCTCTTCTGACTGAGCCAGCTGGGCGCCCCAAAAGCTATTTAATTTGAAGGGTTATTCTTTATTCTGAGATGATGACCTTCCTGTTCTTTTGTGTTTTAATGTCCTGTCCAGGAGGTACTTTGTTGTTTATTTGTTTCATTGCTCTGAAAAAAAAAATTTCTTTTAAAGTAAGCTCCACGCCCAGTGTGGGGCTTGAACCCATGACCGACCCTGAGACCAAGAATCAGACGCTCCACCACCTGAGCCAGCCCGGTGCCCCCTCTTTTTTTTTCTATTGTAGTAAAAAGCATATAACGTGACACCTGCCCCTCTTGACAAATTTTTAACTGTGTGGTACTGTATTGCTAACTAAATGCACGATGCTGGATGGCACGTCCCTGGTATGTATTCATCTCGTGTGACAGAGACGCTGTACCCGCTGGCCAGCAGCTCCCGCTTCCTCCCTTCCCCAGTCCCTGGGAACCACCACTCTAACTTCCTGTTTCTGTGAGTTTGAATTTGACCACGTCAGATCCCTCCTATAAGTGGGATCTTGCAGGATTTGTCCTTCTGGGAGTGGCTTATTTCACTTAGCGTGATGTCCTCAAGATGCATCTGCGTTGTAGCATGTGACGGGATTTCCTTCTTTTTTATGGCTGAATTATATTCCATAATATGGATAGACCACATTTTCATTATCCATTCATCCATCGGTGGACATGCAGGTTGTTTCCATCTCTTGGCTCTTGTCACTGATGCTGCAGTGACCGTGGGAGGGAAAATACCTTTTGAGATCCTGATTACAGTTCTTTTGGATAAATACCAAAGGTGGGATTGCTGGATCATATGGTAGTTCTATTTTTTATTTTTTTGAAGGACCCCCATACTGTTTTTCCTAGCACCTGCAGCATTTTACATCCCCACCAACAGTGCACAAGGGTTCTCTTTTCTCCACAGATTCCAACATTTGTCTCTTGCCTTTTTGATAACAGCTGTCGAACATACGTGGGGTGATACCTCGTTGTGGTTTGATATCCATTTTCTTAATGATTAGAGATGTTGAACACCTTTTCATGTACTATTTGTATGTCTTCTTTGGAGAAATGTCTACTCAGGTCCTTTGCCCATTTTTAAATCAGGTTTTTTGTTTGTTTTGCTATTGAGTTGTTAGGAGTTCCTTATATAGTGCGGATATTACCCCTTACCAGATACATGGTTTGCAAATATTTTCTCCCATTCTGTAGATTGTCTCTTTGTTTTGTTAATTGTTTCTTCTTAAACAATTTTTTTCTGTTGTTTTTTTTTTTTTTTTTTTTTTTTTTTTTTAGTTTACTTTGAGAGAGAGAGAGAGAGTGCACATGTATGCGCACGTTGGGGAAGGGCAGAGAAAGACGGAGAGAGAATCCCAACCAGGCTGTGTGCTGTCAGTGCAGAGCCTGATGTGGGGCTCAATCTCACGAGCTGTGAGATCATGACCTGAGCCGAAACCAAGAGTCTGACACTTAACTGACTGAGCTACCCAGGCTCCCCTTTTAAAAAAATTTTTTTGTGGGGCGCCTGGGTGGCGCAGTCGGTTAAGCGTCCGACTTCAGCCAGGTCACGATCTTGCGGTTCGTGAGTTCGAGCCCCGCGTCAGGCTCTGGGCTGATGGCTCAGAGCCTGGAGGCTGTTTCCGATTCTGTGTCTTCCTCTCTCTCTGCCCCTCCCCCGTTCATGCTCTGTCTCTCTCTGTCCCAAAAATAAATAAACGTTGAAAAAAAAATTTTTTTTGAAATAAGCTTTATGTCTGGCGTGGGTCTTGAACTCATGCTCTCTACTGACTGAGCCAGCCAGGTGCCCTCAGTTTACTGTTTCCTTTGCCCTGCAGAAGGTTTTCAGTTTGATGGCGTCCCACTTGTCCAGTTTTGCTCTTGCTGTCTGTACTTTTGGCATCATACCCGAGAAATCACTGTCAACACCAATGCTATGAAGCTGTTCTCTTATGTGTTCTTCTAGGAGTTATATAGTTTCAGGTGCTACATTTAAGTCTTCAATCCATGTTGAGTTGATTATTGTGTGTGCTAACATAAGGGCCCGTTTACACTCTTTTGCGTGGGTATCTGGCTTTCCCACTACCATTTGTTATTTGGTTTTAAGGGCCTTCCTTGGCAGAATCACAAATGTTCAGTCCTTTGCAGGTTCCCCAATGTTTCTTTAGAAATGTTATTGGTCTGTGAAATCTTGTGAACCAGAGTCTCATAATTTTGTTGTAGTGTCCAATTATATTTTAAAAGTTTGAATGTGTGGTCTGGTATGCACATAGCTCTTAGGAGATGAATGGGTCAGTCAGGAATGTTCCAGAAAAAATCTGAGCTGTAGGACTTATGTCCTTAGAGGCCACATCCCAGTCTGACTGGCAGTTAGTTCCTTTTCCCCAGAATGTGAGCACTTTGGAGTCGGGACTTCACAGAGTAGGGGCTCAGCTAACATTTGTTCTCTTCCATGCAGCCAGGGATGCTGAGATCAGAGAGGTGAAACCCTTTGCCCCCGTCACAGAGCGGGTCAGCCAGAGGTGGCTCAGCCTGGGCTCTCCCAGTTCTCAGGCCAGTACTGTTTTGACTGCACTCGAATCGGCCTGTAGCTCTGTCTGCATTGAATAAAATTTTCTTCCCCGGTGGCCCAGAGTGGTTGAGAAAGAGGTTTTTCTTTCTCAATGGGAAAGCCTTGATTTTGTAGAGATGAGGCTTGTACCATCTCGGCGTCTCCCCCACGCTGCCAACACGACATCTGGCACATGCGGAGAACAGGGTAAATGTCCGAATGAAGGGATAGCCAGCAACTTCAATTGTGAGGCAGCCATTAGAGCCAGAAATGAGAACATTTAGATTCTGCTTCCTGCTCTGCCTTAGATTTTGCTGTGTGACATTAAACAGGTCCCTTTCTGTCCCTGTGTCTTAGTTGTCTGGTCTGTTAACACCGACAACAAGCATAGTAACAGGCTAACGTGTAATGAGTGCCTCCTATGTGTCAGGCACTGCCCTAAGCACTTATATAGGGTATAAACTCCTCCTGGCCACCCCCCAGAGATCAAGATCATTCACACATCCACTATACGGTGAGGAAACAGAAGCCCAGAGGGGTCAAGTATCTTTCCAAGGTCACACAGCTAATTAGAGGGCAGCAGGGGTTCAAACCCCAGCAGGTCAGTCCCAGAGACCACTTAATCATTATATGATACGAGCATCTAGAAGATTTATCTTTTCTTGAGTGATTCTTTGGGATACAGAAAGTGGCAGCTGTTTCAGTTCTGGGCCCTTGGCAACATGTTTTTGGTCGAGTTCCTTTAGGCTTTGTTAAATAGCTACCATGCAGATCTCTTCCTGGAAGGGAGGCAACTGTTGAGACAGGGTTACTTGGGAAGAATTTTGGCAGAGAGGGAGGAAAAAAGCAGATGGCAAGGCCTCTCCCCCTGTCTCGCTGCCTCTCCACGGCCTCTCCTGTGTTCCCTGAAGCTCACCGTGGCTGCCTTCACCAGGGTACAGGCCACCTTTGGCCCTGACCTGGGCATGTCTCTGGACAGCCAATCTCATCTGCTCTGCAGCATTGCAAGTGGCCAGAGTCAGCCTCTAAAAGACAACAATGGATCACATCACACCCCTGCTTAAAGCCTTCCCGTGGCTTCTCAGAACTCTTGGAATAAAACCCAGCATGACCCCTGCCCGCCTCTCTGACTTCATCTCGCACCTCCCCTTTGCTCAGCACCCTGTAGCCCTGCTGTGCTGTGCCAGCCAGTGGCCACTAGCCATATGGGGCTGCTGAGCATTTGAAATGTGGCCAGTCCAAATTGAGATGTGCTTGTCCATATAAAATACACACTGGCTCTCTAAGCTATAGTCCAAAAGAGGGCGTAAAATACCTTATTAGTAATTTTATATTGACTATATGTCTATTTTTTTAATTTAAAAAAATGTATTTACTTTTGAGAGAGAGAGAGAGAGAGAGAGAGGGGCAGAGAGAGGGAGACAGAGAATCCCAAGCAGGCCCCATGCTGTCAGTGCAGAGCACAACACGGGGCTTGAACTCACGAATGAACTGTGAGATCATGACCTGAGCTGAAACCAAGAATCAGACGCTTAGACTGAGTCACCCAGGCGCCCTGATATTTATTATATGTTGAAATGATATTTTTTATATACTGGGTTAAACAAAATACATTATTAAAATTAATTTCACTTCTTTCTACTTTTAACAAATTTTTTTTAATGCTTATTCATTTTTGAGAGACAGAGCGTGAGCAGGACAGGGGCAGAGAGAGAGGGAGACACAGAATGCAAAGCAGGCTCCAGGCTCCGAGCTGTCAGCACAGAACCCAACACAGGGCTCAAATTCATGAACTGTGAGATCATGACCTGAGCCAAAGTCAGAGGCTTCACTGACTGAGCCACCCAGGCGCCCCTACCTTTTTTTCTTTTTTAAAGAGAGAATGAGCACGTGAGCAGGGGAGCGGGGGAGAGGGACAGAGAGAGAGAATCTTAAGCAGGTTCCACACTCAGCACAGAGCCTAATGTGGGGCTTGATCCCACATTCAGATCATGACCTGAGCTGAAATTAAGAGTGGGACGCTCAACTGACTAAGACTCTCTTTTTTTTATCGTGGCTACTAGAAATTGTCAATTCCAAGCATGGCTTGTGTTCTGGTCCCATCGGACAGTGCTGTTGCAGCCACACGCTGGCCTTTGTCAGTTCCTGGTCTGCCCGAGGTCTTCCCTCAGGCAGGCAGGGCCTATGTCTGTCTGCCACTTTCAGTGCCCTCTGCAGTTGCAATCTTTCTCCTTTTTTTTTAAAGTAAATCTTGATTTTCTTATTTTATTTTATTTTTAAGTGCTCATCTATTTATTTATTTTATTGAGGTTTTTTCCTTAAGTGTATTTATTTTGAGAGAGACAGAGAGAGTGTGAGTGGGGGAGCGGCAGAGAGAGAGGGAGACAGAATCTCAAGCAGGCTCCGTGCTGACAGCACAATGCGGAGCTCGAACCCACAAAACTGGGGGATCGTGACCTGAGCCGAAACTAAGAATCAGATGCTTAACCAACAGAGCTACCCAGGCGCCCCTAAGTTATTTTTTTTAATGTTTATTTATTTATTTTGAGAGAGAGAGAGAGAGCAGGGGAGGGGCAGAGAATGAGGAGAGAGAGAGAGAGAGAGAGAGAATCCCAGATAAGCTCTGCACTGTCAGCACAGCCGATGTGGGGTTCGATCTCACAAACTGCAAGATCATGACCTGACCCGAGACCAAGAGTCGGATGCTTCCCCAACTAAGCCACCCAGGCACCCTTGCAATCTTTCTCCTGTTTGCTGTCTTGCTGCCCCAGGCAGAGTCGGGGTCCCCCACTGCAGGTGCTCTGCCCTTGGTCCACCACCTGACTCTGGACCACAGCCAGGAAGAGCTTGGGGTCAATCACATACCTGGCGGAAGGAAGGATGGGAACTGACCCGGGTTCTCCAGCCAAAGGGCTCCGCATGCTGCTGGCCAGGTTTTAGCTGAAGCAGGTGACCAGGATCCTCAGCGGCTCTGAGCAGAACACACACACGGACTTTAAGAGAGGGCCTTTGGGCTTTGTGTGGGGTTTGGGGCACCTGCCGTGTCAGTAGGATGACGGTGCGAAGCCTCCCCAGTTTTCATCACAAGAACCCGTTTGGCAGCCTGGGTCAGCGGTCATGTGTGCCAGGTCATTGGGAATCGCCAGTGCAGCCGAGGTGGATTTGGGCTTTGCTGGGACACCCCAGGGTCCCTCTCAGCCTTGCTGCTTACCACACGGTGACCTTTGGAGGTCACCCAGCTCCCATTTAAGTGAGGATTGGCTCCCTGCCTAGAGCCAGTGAGGACCAGAGGGAGGGCTGTGTGTCACCAGCGGGGTACGGCGTGGGGACACATAGGTGTTCAGGCCATCAGAACATCCTTGTGACCAGCTCGCCCTTCCTGCCCTCAGCCACCTTCACAGGATGCCGGCCACAGTGGGCGTGGAAATAATGCATGGCCTCAGCTCCTGAGCAAGGGCCCCCTGCTACGGGAGGACCACCGGGTTGTCCCCTCATGCCGTTTTCACCCTGAGGACACTGACTTTGGCAGCATCTGGAGGAGGGAGAGATGCCACCATTTCTGTGAAAAGGGCCTGTGGGTTTTAATTGACCGCAAGCTCGGAGTGAGCCAACGGGTGACCTGATTGCTAAAATAGCCCAGGAGGAGGGCGGAAGCTTCCAGAACAGGGAGGGGGTGGCTAAGATCTCAGCTGGAAGGAAGTGAGGGCACCATTCTTGGAACCTGCCCAAGTCTGCAGCTCCAGAGAGCAGGGAGGCCCTTCTCTGGAAACTCTGCCTTATCCAGCCCCCCTGGGTGAGATCGGGGTGGGACAGGAGGCAGCCCTGCCAGAGGCAAAGCTGAGTCGCTCCTGGAGCACAGTAACCTGGGAGGGCGAACGCAGGCCAGCACCCCTGGGCCTTCATCTCTCAGTTTAGTTACAAGGGCCCAGGGAGACGAGGTGGGTCAGGCACTCCAGTCCCATGTGGGGAAGCCGAGAGCCTGCCTGAGCCCACAGTGAGAGGGTGACAAAGGCCAGCTGTCCTCCAGCCTTCCTGCTGTACTCAGCAGCTCTGAAAGAAATGCAAGGAACAAAGAAGCTGACTTCTCTCATACAGCAGATAATGAATGTTCTGATTCGCAGCCCCTGAGAGCATCAAATCCCAATGTCCCCAGCCAGGAAATTTACAGCCTGCCATTGACCCTTCTGGAGGGCCCAGACAGGGCAGTGTCCCCTTGCTGGTTCCTTCATGGGCAGAGATGGCTGGTGAATCCCACGACCTCTGTGCCGGCTGCCCTCGGCCTCCAGTGGCCTGGCCAGGGCCCCTCAGCTCTGGCCAGTGCTGGGCTGGTCAGTGAGGACAGACCCAGAGGCCACCCAGCTGTGTGCAGGGGGCGGGTGGAGGTGGAGGGGACGGGCCTGGGCAAGGGCAACCCCTTCTCTGCCTTTCTGCTTTATGTCTAATTATAAAAGCAATTCATACTCATTGTAAAATTGGGGAACTACATTAAGGTGCAAAGGAGAAAATGAAAGTCATCTGTCATCTCGCTGCCCAGAGATAACTGTCATAACTACTTTGTTATATTTCTCTCCAGTCCTGTTTTTCTATTTGGATCATACATATGCGTATAAGTGCATTTTTTAATTATAATAATACTCTGTAGCTGGCTTTACCCCCTGCCTTACGTTATATGGTGAAATGTTTTCTCACAGTTAAAATTTTCTTTAAAGTTATTTAATGGCTATATGGTATTGTGTTAATAATTTAGCCATTCTCCTATTTTTTTTCATTCTCCTATTTTGACTCTCTCTCTCTCTCTCTCTCTCTTTTTTTTTTTTTCAAACGTTTATTTATTTTTGGGACAGAGAGAGACAGAGCATGAACGGGGGAGGGGCAGAGAGAGAGGGAGACACAGAATCGGAAACAGGCTCCAGGCTCTGAGCCATCAGCCCAGAGCCCGACGTGGGGCTCGAACTCACGGACCGTGAGATCGTGACCTGGCTGAAGTCGGATGCTTAACCGACTGCGCCACCCAGGCGCCCCTCTCTCTCTCTTTTTAAACCAAGGAGACTTGGCAGTTTTTAAAATTCTGCCCAAAGGGCGCTTGGTTGGCTCAGTCGGTTAAGAGTCTGACTTTAGTTCAGGTCATGATCTCACGGTTCATAAGTTCGAGCCCCACATCAGACCCTCTGCTGTAAGCTCAGAGTCTGTTTCAGATCTTCTGTCCCCCTCTCTATGCCCCTACCCCATTCACATTCTCTTTCTCAAAAGTGAGTAAACATTAAGAAATACTTTTTTCAAAAAAATAAAATTCCACCTAAAAATTTAGATCCAGCTTTTTAGCTGCTGAGTTGGAACAGTTCTGGGTTGCTCTCTGCCATTCACACTGAGAGGGGCCTCTCAGGTTGAACAGCTCAGGTGACAGCAGAGGTAGAGTATTTAGAAACACAAAAACAAAAACAAAAAATAAAAACCACCACCATCGGGATGTTTAGGAAAGGAGTTTCCTGGGACCCCTGGGTGGCTCCGTCGGTGAAGCGTCCGACTTCAGCTCAGGTCATGATCTCACGGCTCGTGAGTTCAAGCCCCACGTCAGGCTCTGTGCTGACAGCTCGGAGCCTGGAGCCTGCTTTAGACTCTATGTCTCCATCTCTCTCTCAAAAATAAATGAACATTAGCAAAATTTTTTTTTAATTAAAAAAGGAAAGGAGTTTCCCTCTGTGCCTGCAGCTCATGTGGTGAAGAACCACGGGCATAGCCAGCTTGGGTGTAGATGTGCGCATCCTTGCAGGTGGCTTCTTGGCATGTGAGCTGGTGGAGAGGGCTGGCAGTCCTTGGTTCACGTTTTGCCTGTGCCACAGGCTGGTGTGATCTTGGGCCAGTCCTTCCCCTGCCCCGTTTCTCCGTTTCCTAGGCTGTGAAAGGGACCTGATGTCAGAGTGGCTCAACCGAATGCCGTAATGCTGCGTCTGAGCCAGTATGCTGTCAGTGGGGAGCAAAGGGACACACGCTTGTTCCTAAGGCATTAATTGGGTTTCCCTGCCCTTTCTGGATCCCTGCTCAGCATCCCAGAACCAGGCCCACGTACGACTCACGGAGAACCCAACCCCTAGAGAAATTTCCCATTGTGTTCAGGGCTCAGGGGTCACGCAAGCAGGGTTTCTGGAGGTTTGGAACTGGATACCACTAGAATATATGCTCCAGGAGGGCAAGAGCCTTGTGCTTCTCGTTTACTTGGTGCCCCCGGTTCTGTACTGTAGGGGCCTGGCCTACAGTAAGCCTTCAGTAAATTCTAGCAGACCCAAGCAAGTGGTGGCCTCTTCCTGCCTCAGTTTCCCTTTCTGTTCTGCTAGGCCATGAGCTCTGCGAGAGCACAGATGAGCCCACTTTACCTGAGTCCTCAATGCCCAGCAAAGACACTGACATGTGGAGAGGTCCATGAATGCATAAACAGAGAACAAATGGATTGATGAATAAATCATGTCCCAAGAGAGTCAGAGCTCATGACGCAGGCCCTTCCTTCTCCCCACCTCCCCTCCATAGTGGGTCCCTGGCCTCCCTCTGAAGGGTCCTGGATGATCCATCCCTCTGTCCCTCCTTGGTTGAAGTTGGCCGCCAGGAACTCTGAGACTTCCTGGCTGTGTGACTTTGGACAAGTCACTCTACCTCTCTGAGCCCCCATCGCCTCTTCTGCAAAATGAGGCAGATATGATGTCTTGAAAGGGCTTTATGAGGCTTGGTGCCCGATTGCATATAGCTGGTGCCTGGAAGGTGGTAGGTACCCAAAGAAGCGGCCCCTCTTGTTGCCAGTGGCCTGGCGCTCTGTCCATGATGAGCTCTCTGACTCGAGTTGGCTGAACAATTGACTCTGGGAGGGGCATGAGATAATCTTGAGCTGGGGCTACCTGAGAGGCAGCAGAGGGTTACAGATCCCCTGAGACCCCTGCAGCTGTCCTTGGCAATTCGCCTTGGCCCTGCCATTCAGTGCCCTTTCCCCCCCGCCGGGAAGGCTCACGCTACAGCGGGGGTGGGGGGGGCTGGGGGGGGGGGCTCGGCTGGGAGGCAGGCCGCTCCGCTGGAGAACTGTTCTCCTGATGCCCCTGTGATGGGAGAAGGGAGCTGGCTGCACTGCCAGGAGCTTCCACACCAGGCTGCCCTGGACCGTGCCATGGGGGCCCCCATGCCTTCACTGCCTGTCACTCATGGCTCTGGACCTCCCGTCTCCAGGCTTCAATCAGATGGAAGATTTGCAGTTTTGATGAGAGGAGCAAATGAAACAATGCACCTTCACCTCTGCCCCGCACGCTCCTGAGGTTGTGCTACGGTAACTAGTAACTTTACTAGGAGCCAGCCCACGGAGGTGGGGATCGTGCCGGGGCCTCTCGCAGCTACCGGAGGCCGCCTGGCGGAGCTTCTGAGAGTCTCTGCCTCTGTGCCTGGCCCTGCCACATAGTCACCGTGGGACATGGACAGGTAACTTCCCTCTCTCAGCCTCCGTGTCCTCATCTGCAAAACCAGGGCGGCCACCTTCCTGGATTTCCGGGAGAAGCCTCTGACGCTGTGCCTGCGAAGGGTCTGGCTAAGTCCAGCCTCAGTGAGAGTGACTTCCCCAGGCACCCAGGCTTCCCAGACCTCAGTTTGCCCAGGTGTACTATGGAGATGATGATCCCACCCATGGCTTCCGGTCATCGGGAAGGTTCCATAAAACCAACCATGTAACCCACCTAGCACAAATATATATTGCTCATTTAGCTCGTTATTATGGGATTTTGTGCCGCTAGTGGGCAAAGCCAGCCAGGATGAGACCCTGCCGCCGCCCGCCCTGCCCCCTGCCCAGGGCTTCTTCCTCTGGCTCACAATAGGAGGCTTGTACAGGTGGGACCAGAGTGACCTCCCTCGGGTTTGCCAGGTCAGAGCCGCACTCCCAGTGTCTGGAGCGCAGGGAGGGGATGGCCACGCAGCACCTGCTGCCAGCTACCTGACCGGCTGAGTCTCCAGGAAGCCGTGGTGGAGGCTGGGCCTTGGGGTTTCGGCTAAGCCCTGGGGTGCTGAGCAGACAATGAACTTTGGTCTTCTCCTGAAGTGCCCCTGTGCAGTCTCCCAGTGCCCCAGCGTCTACTTTTCTGACCACACAATGTCAGAGCGCCGAAGGAATGCCACAGCAAATAGCTTTATTGTTTTTTTTCGGGCTGTAAAAGTAATTCTTGTTCATTGCAGAAAAAAAAAAATCAGAAAAGCGTAAATTAAGAGCACCCCACCCCAAATCCCAAACTTTTGGCTGCTTTTGTGCATATGCACATAAAGATACAGATTGTTTTTACAAAGATCAACTCTTATGATACACGCTTTAAAAATTGAAATGAGAATACTTGATTTTTTTAATGTTTATTTATTTTTGAGAGAGAGACAGAGCATG